TTTTTTTTTTTTAATTTCCATATATACCTGACCAAGGGCTTATTTGAGAAATACTGCTGCTATAGAGAAAAAAAAAATTGCCAATAAGAATTTCCAATCCAATGACCTAAAACCAAATTACAGCAATTGTAATTTTTTCCCTCGATTAAAAGCGAAGAGGGATTTTCAGTGAACGAAAAAGTACTCGCCGCACAGACGACACAGCCACTATGAAGAAAATCAAAAAAAAAACGTTTACTGTTTTATCCGACATTATCAAAAATCTTCAGTTCCGAATCGTTACGAAAAATAGGTGCTGTCGCCTGTTAAAGGCCTCCTCACAAGCATGCCGCTTACCAAATGCACCACTAACTTCTTAGTGGAAACACGTAACAAGTAAAAATTGGCAAAAAGTATTTTAAAACTGAAGTGTTTTTTTTGCGAGGTGTCTAAATACATCATATTTGACAGCAGTAGTAGTAGTCTTCTTAAAACAGACTAGTATCTAAATAAAAAACTTTAAATGCCCTACTTCATAAAGACGATGTTTTTCTACTGCAGGAATGTGTAAATTAAACAAAATTTATGACGTAATCGATCAATGGATTTCCAAAGTATATTTGGAAGTTGTTATGCTTCGCTGCGAGAAAGAATAAATGACAGACTGGTCGGCGTAATCGAAACAACCCAGATTTATATAAAGCTGGCGAACTGTAACTCCAGCATCACTTCACAAAAACTATTTAGGAAACACACAACAACAACGAATAAAATAAACGATTTCTTTGTCTTTACCAACACGGTAATAACTTCGAACATACGTTACGTGACGCATGGAAAGCTACTTATAATTAAAAAATTAAATTTCATCATTTTGGTTTTTGTGCCTTGTTTTAACCATCGAATTACAATTTACGTTAACTTCTTTGTTGGAATTGAAATTTTTGATGAAAAATCTAAGCTATTAAACTTAACTAATAGACACACAATTTTGCCTGCCTGCCTGCCTGCCTTTGTAAAATAATCATTTCTATTCCATATGTTTTGACCACCACTGTGTGTACGTATACGCATAAATGTATGTACCATAACGAGCTACTAAACGTATATTTGTAAGTAAATTAACATGAATATATGTATGTATATATTTATTAGTTGTGTGCTATATACAAAAATTTAAAATTAAATTAAACCAATTTAATAGAATTTACACAAAAAATATATATCTATGAATGTATGCTAATGAACGAAGAAATTAAATTAAAGTTAGGAAGGAGAATATGCTCTCTGCAAGACGGCAACGTTACTGATACGTACATAGGTAAGACACTTGCACGTACAAACATACTACATATGTGCATAAGCTTGAGCGCACAGCATCTGCCTACATACACACAAATATGTATATATTATGTATTTATGTTTCTACAATATAATTCAATTAAACTCGTTTATGCGCAAAAACTCTTACGAATACACACACAAATACGTTTATGTATATACATATTGCAAATTTCTAAAACGGTAATAATATTTCTAATATATATATATATATACGTATTTATGTATAACTAATACAAGTAAACAAGCGCTTATAGTTGTTTTATGTTTTTTACGTTATTCCTCAAAAAAATTTAAGAAAACTTGATATGCATTTCAAAATAGGCATAGCAATAACAACCGATGCGCATTAATGAAAATTTAGCTCAAATGAAAATTCGCAACAAACACAAGCAAGTCGATTTATAAGGTATTATAAGTTTGTATAAATAAAAAAAAACCAACTAAACTATAAAAATGTCCGTAACACTACATACATTAGTTCGCGCGAATTTCGTTGCATAACAATTACAACATAACATTAAACATAAATATAACTTTTTCTTTCCAGCTACCTTTATTTGGTTGCCAATTACACCACACACTCAACAAGAGCGCCGCCCACAACTACTTCGGCGTCGTCTTTGCTCCCTTGTACACAATGTTCACTAATCGCCGCTTTCCGCTCTACTCCTGGCAGAAGCCTTCAGTCTCTTCAATGGCAAATGTCAATTTCTCCACTAGCTGATCGTAACTCTTATACGGCGGCAAGTCCAACCGATTGAAGCAGGTATGCGAACACGGCAACCATGTTTCTTTGCCCACTTTTTCAATGCAAAAGCGTTGTGGTCCATTGGAGCCCATTAACTCAGCGAAACCGCCGACGGGCACACGACACGTACCCGTAACAAATTGCAACAAGCGTGCACGCTTTTCATTGTCCGTATCGCGCACAAACTGGTGTGAAAAAAGAGTTGCAGCATTAGATATTTGCGGATATGTTTGAAAATATTTGCATTTTTTTCTGAGAACAGACGCTCACCTGCCAGAACCACATCACTTGCTTGGAGTTGCGATTGTAATGCCTGTAAATCGTATTCCGTTGCCAATCATCTACATCTACATCTTGCATGCCGCACAATATGAGCTCCAATTCACGTTCGTCGAAATACTTAAGCCATTCGAGCGGCACAACCTCGTTGAAGCCTTCCAGGAACGTTTTTGTCTGCTGCTCAATACCTCTGAAAATGGATTTTTTTGTTTGGTATTATGAATTAGTACAATTTTACAGATTACACTCCTTAAAGATTATCATCTTTTATAGAGACTCTGAGCTAAAGTTCTCTTAAAGTGTTCAATTCAATACCTGTCGGTTCTAAGATTTTTAAATACTTGAGTTTTATCCGACCTACGGCTATTGTTTCGCTGATCTAACGCTGTTTGGAACGGCGAACCCTAGTAATCGGTTTTGATTCCTGGAACAACAGCTAGCAGCAGCGTAGGTCGACACTTTTCTGAGTCGGTTAGAAACAATATATGCAAAGACCAGCGGCACCTATGAACCTGTACTGGTCTTAGGTCAAATAGGGAGTGAACCACAAAGTATGTGGCTTCAGAATTGCAATTTTGAAGCCCAATTACAAGAGAAATATTTCTAGATAATAAAGTTTGAGATCAGTGAGCGATATTCTCGGTGTGGCTTTTCTGCCAGTGGCCAGTGATTTCTACAATTCAGTAAAACTAACTCTTTCATACTTTTTTTTAATCTTTTCTGTTCTTCTTTTTGCTTCTCACTTATATCCTTTCTGAATTTTCGTGACGCTACCTAAATCTTTTCGTAGCCTTTATTTCTGCTTTTCACACAAAATTGCGATTAACTGCTCTCACGTTCAAAGTAATCTAACTCCCTTACCTCGTCATCCGCCATTCAGTCATGAGTGTTATATATTCCTCTTTATTCTCCTCCGTCACTCGTTCTTTTTCGCCATTTTCATTCAATTCATGATGTATTATCTGTCCAAGCACCTCAAAGTCGACGCTAAACCAAAGCTCCAATCCACACTCGTCAATATTATTGTCACGCACCCAAATAAGCGAATTATAAAACTCCGGATCGATGGTTTCAATGTCTTTTATAGTTAATTTCTTGTTCAACATACGCTTGTAGAAGGGCATTGTGAATCCGGAATATATAAAACGACCATGATACAATGCCATCGCTATGAAACGGCCAATAAATTTGAAATACTGCAAGTGATCTGGATTCACATACGAGGCCGGATTGATTTGCAAACTATAGTTGTTTTTGTTGGCGTACTCGAAGAGACAATACATGGGATTGAGCACCTCATGTGATAGCAAAAAGAACCATTCACGCGACACACCACCATAGTCGAGACCCTCCTCACCACGGAAAATGATGTAGAGGCGACGTCGCAGCTCATAGGCAGGCAAACGCATAATTTGGTGGTATGAATCTTCGAAGAGCGTCTGTCGTGTCACGGTTATTTTAATGTGTGACGGCAAAGCATTAC